CTGATTGCTTGCTCTCTAGGGGTCAAAGTGTAATGAAGGGAATAATGGGAAAATATTGCTGCTTTCTTAATGACTAGGATGTAGTTTCTGAAATGAACCCAAAATATTTTTAGACTAATTATGCTGTATATATAGCATTAGGAAAATGTAAGAATGCTGTCCATAGAATTTCTGTTCTTTTACTGTTTTATGATGCCTGTTGCTTTTGGCAAAGCATGCTATGCTTTAGCTGTCTGTAATTTAAGATGAAATGAAAGAAACTTGAAGAGAAGAAATGTGGAATTGTTTGTTCTTTTTTCTCCTCTTTTGAAATTGAGTTAATAAAGAGAACAAATTTACTTTGATATTTGCAGATGCTCTAGCTGCCTGCAATTACTTGCCTCAGTCGAGGGAGAAAATCATTGCTGCACTTTTCAAGGCACTTAATTCAACAAACAATGAACTGCAGGAGGCAGGAGAAGCATGCATGAGAAAGGTTAGTATATTAAAACAAGGTTGCTTTTGAGGCCATTTCTCTCCCCTTTATTCATGGTTACAAAGCTCCTTTGGAAAGTTCTTTATGGGAGGTAATGGCTGCTCTGTTAAGTTTTCATTAGTGACACCAATATAATTAAGTTTCTGTCAGATAGATATGTGTTTCTTGAGCTTTGAACTTGGCCATAAAGATTTAGTCTCGTTGAAATTAAGCATTATAAGCTCCTGGACAAGGACCATGGTAAGTCTTTCTTCTGTCCAGTCTTTTGGTCTTTCTGTTTGTCTGGTCTTTGTAAACGTAGCTTCATTTAAAAATGAACAGTGTCAGTCCTTCCCAGCAGATTTGCAGATGTGCATTCCTGGCTTAATTGTGAAAGTTTTTTCATGTTTCTTCTCTGTTCCTAAGACAGACCTCATAGTTGGTTTTGGAAAAGTAAGCAACAGTGCACGGACTCTGCATCACAGTGACCTTAAGGAACAGGACTGTGGCTGGACTGTTAACAGTCAGAGTTAGCGTCTTTACATGTGCTACACAACACTGTGTTCTGTGGAAGCCAGGTTATAGTGGAAGAAATATGGAATGACAGGGAAAAGGATATTCTCTCATTATTATTTGTTGCCCCGTAGATATGCCTAATTCTAATTCAGCAAGATTTTAATAACCATTCTAAATATAGGAAATGATGATAAAAATACTTAGTCTCTTTGTCATGATATGTAGATTGGCTGGCATGTTACCAGGGACTATAACTGGTAATACTAGTGGTTTACATTTGTTTAGGCCATTGTCTGATTAGAGGTCAGGTATTGTCTTTACATCACTCTGGTTCTGAGAGGGAATGTGCCTATTATTTACTGTTTGCTCACAATACAACTGGATTGAGAGGTAAGAGAGAGCAAATAAGGATTGTTCTGACCTATGCCTTTGGTATAAGATCTTTTTGATTGATTTTCCTTGTGATAAATCCCTGACCAAAGGGTGTTTGTTTATGATAAATATTCTGTCTTGCAGTCAGGTTCTCTTGACCTTTTATGTTACTCTGGACGTATGTAGATTGTAACACAGAAGTTTGCTGTGTTGCCTTTGGCTGGATTCACAGGCAGCTTTTAATAAGGCAGTGCCTAGGTACTTTGTTGTATCGCTGTATGTTTAACTTGCAGTAGTGGCAGTTTTTCAATCCCTCTGTAATTAAGATCTGCTTGATTATTTTATGGAATATCCTGTTATGCGTCAGAAATAATTAAGTGCTTCCCAAATCCATCTTGTCACTATAGATTTTTCCAGAAATAGATATTGTTAAAACTGTTGCATTCTGAAAGTACAAAATCAAAGATGAAAAATCCAAGTCAGGAGAATTTATTTTAAGAAAGGTGCATGCACAAAAGTCACTCCCTTCTCACTCTGTATCTTAATCCTGTGCTCTCTTGCAGTTCTTGGAAGGAGCTACCATAGAAGTTGATCAAATTCACACACACATGAGACCATTGCTTATGATGTTGGGAGACTATCGAAGTCTGACACTCAATGTTGTGAATCGTCTGACATCTGTCACTAGACTTTTTCCAAACTCTTTTAATGATAAATTCTGTGATCAGATGATGGTAAGCCCATTCAAGTTTTCTTTAGCTCTTCCAGAATAAATTTTCTTTTAGCTAATATTTGTATTGTTGAAAAGTCAAGGAACGTTTCAGTCGTGACTCAATATATGTATTGGAAGTAAATTATTTTAGTTTCACAATTAATAGGAGAAAAAACCCAGCACCTTTAAATATTTTGAATTAATTTCTAAAGAGCTGCAAAAATAGGAATTTAATAAGAGATGTTCTTTTCTAGTGAAGACAATACCTCAGGTCTGCTTGGACAAATTTATTTTTAAGCAAGGTGCCAGCAGCATAATACACTAAAGAACTCCTTGAAAATATATTTGACTTCCTAGTGGGCAAAGTCCCTTTTGGTGTTTTCTTCATTCATAAGTGGTGGAAGATATTGCCCTTCTTATTTGCATTTTTTAAACTGTGTATATGAATTCTTTATCTTTTTGCCATGGTATTTAAATGTATACATATCAAGTGAATCCTTAAACAAATATAAAGTTGTTAGACTTCAGATTCTTGTGCCTTTTAATGTATGTACTCGTATAACCCCTGCTTGTTTGAATATGGAGAGGACTTCCAGCAACAGTAAACTCATCAGACTGAGGGAATGAAAATGAACACTATTTTTTTCCTGTTTCCTTCAAACAATCATTTCTGCCTCTACTTCTTTTCTTGTCACGTATGCTGTCAGTTCCTAAAATGGAACAGTGCAATTAGAAGAATATTACTAATTATTCTCTCTTTATAGCAACACCTGCGTAAATGGATGGAAGTTGTAGTTATTACACACAAAGGTGGACAGCGGAGTGATGGAAATGTAAGTTAATGAATGCTTTTATGTGGGCAGATAAGAAATAAATACTATTAATGTTTTGGAATTACAGGACTCATTCAGTAGTAAATGTTGCCAGAACTGATTACACATTTATGTTTTGTTACAAGCTAATGAACTCACATGTATATTGAATATTGGTTACAAATCTTAGTAAGAGAAGCCTCTTATCTGCTGACAGCGGTGACATTAAAGCCTATTCTACACAGGTTGGTGTGGGAGCAGCTCATTGCTTGGTTTTCTTTTTTCTTCAGGATTTTCTGCTTTAGAAATCTATTCTTCATTGGAATGACTGATGAGCTCAGCAGCATAATCCCTCTTTTTTTACTAATATGTTTGATGTTCATAACAAAGTCTTTTGAAAATTATACATAATAATATAATCCCAGTTCATTTAAAATATGGTTTATGAAAAAAATGTTCAATATTTACTGATTGAGGTCCCATTAAAATCTCTCCCATCCAAACTAATGGCCTCAGTTGTGGACTATGGGAAGCTGACCAGTTTTCTTATAAATGGAAGATTGCACAGCATAATGAAAACATCATGTGCTCTTTGCAGTACAGCACTGAAAGAATTTTCTAATTCAGTGTTCTTTCATGTAGAAAATGCCCCATAATTGTGTTAAGATTTTATTAATAACTTATATTAAGTGTTGCAATTTCTTATTGCAAGTAGGAAGAAAAATGGAGCAATTTTATTAATTTCTTTGGTTTTCATATTAAGATGAAAATAGATTAAGTTTTTATTTTGCTCAAAACAAAGAAATGGCTTAATGGCTTTATGTGACTCTTTCCTGTCATTACACAGAGAGCTTTTAAAACTGAATTTAGTCCTGGCTTTATATTGGAACTAGATGTTCTCTAATGGAGTAGAATTTGTTTCTTATGTTTAAACTATAAAATGTGCATTTTTCAGATAAACACATTTTATTCAGGTCTGAGTAGTTCTAAGGCCTTCATATTCTTCTTTTGGGATTCAATTTTCCTCAAATGTGATGATTACAGATACCTTGCAGTTCTTTTTATAACAACAGTCTTTTAAACTGCAGTGTGGCACCACTAGAATGGTTTTTAGTTGTTCCTATTTAATTTTGAGTTCTGCTTTTAATGTCTTCTGTTGATGTTTTCTATGTAGTTGTGTGTTTGGTCTCCTAAACTTGTAACTTTTTTTTAGTGTTGGTTTAAAAGGTAGGTACATTGAGGGGCAGGTGCACACCAGACCCTTGAGAAGGAACCTACTGCCACATCTTAAGGGAGGAGAGTCATCTGTGGAAATGTTTCCAAATAGAATTGTGTGACTGCAAATCTGAATGAAATCCTGCTTTTTCTTGGTTGCTGTTGCTGTAGTTTCCTTAAAAAATAAAAATGCTGGGAAACTGAAGAAAGGCACAGACAGTGTGGTCTTTATACAGTTGCTGTGGCAGTCTGTGTTCATACATCCACATGCAGAGTGCACTGTTGCTGTCATTGTATCTCCTAAAGGTGGAGAAACTTGGATGGTGAAACTGGTGGTCAGAGTTACTTTAGCTGGCCTTTCACTTACTCCAATTTCTTCTTGACCATAGTGAGATTCCAAAATCAGAGATACTCAGTTAGAAGCAATAGTAGGGAATGTTATTGGGGTAGGCTGCATCATTCAGAGTGAGAGTTTTACAAGATGGTAAACATGCAGCAGAGAATGGATCAGGAGAATGGTCAGGAAAGCCCTGTGTTTGCTAGCTGGAATGGTTCAGAGCACTCTTACTGTAACTTTTTTGAATTAAGGAGTTTTTGTCTTTTTCCAGCAGCACTTTCTACAGGTGTGGTTTGATGATGGTGCTGGTGTTGGCGTGCAGTCCCCCAGCACAGTGCAGATATTGGTTAGGCAGCAAGGCTTCTTAAGGAAAGTCCAGAAGTCTATGGAATAAATTTTCATATGTTAGAGGCAAATTCCCTCATAAACAGCAGCACCATGGAGGCAGTTCTGTGTTACAGCCTATTAGAAGGACTTTATAGCTTGATGTAGTTCAAGTATTGAAAATGGTTTCATAATTGATGCTGGACAAATTTGGCTTTGCAGATGCTAAAATACTGTTTCCCCTAACTCAGTCATCTCTGATGTCTTTCTGTTCAGTACAAATATTTGAGAAGCTATGTCTGAACAATGTACAAGTAGGAAGAAGGGTGCTTTTCATCCCAGCTCTTAGGAGAAAATTCAGAGCATGGAAGACATTCAGTGTCTATTCTTTCAGTCTGAGATGAGAAAATAACCCTCCTGAAGTCAGTGTCTGTCTGCAGCCTGGAGAAGAACATACAGTGTTCATTTGTTTGATATTTTTGTGGGCTTTTTCTTTTCATGCTGTGACTTCTGTTTTGGTTCAGCCTGCAGCGGAAGGGGTAGAGGTGAGACACTCAGTGGAGGCACCAGGAAGTTCTTTGTCATTGTGTTTTCTTTTTTTTTTTTTTTTTTTTTTTTTTTTTTTTTTTTTTTTTTTTTTTTGTTTGGTTGTTTTTTTATTTTTTTTCCCTTTTAAAATGCGGTTTGCTAGTTTTATTGTTGTGTTTGGGGCAGAGTGCATTGTGCCTTTGAGTGCAGTGCTGTGAATTGTCTGCTGTTCGTTTGTGGCAGAGTTGTTTTGATAACATTGCTGTTAAGGATATTAAGCATGTTTTTAACAGGAAGAGCAGGATTTTTAGTTTCTGTGAAGTCATAAGTACTTTCAAAAGATTTTAAACGTGTTCTCAGTCTGCATTTTGATTTATGTGAGCAGTCTTGGGGGGGTCTGTGTAGGTAGATCATGTTAAAGGAGTGGGCCATAATACTTTGTGTTTGCATTTCCTCAACTGAATTTAATGTACTTGATAATATTCTTTTGTATACTGCTTACTAGAAATTGGTTTTGGAGGGATGATGAGGGGGGATGTTTTGGTTTTTTCCTTCTTCCTTACTGAAGGAAATCTACACTCTAGTTAACTGAAATGTAGCCTCTGTTTAAATTACACAACAAAAGAAAGACACAGAATTATTTTGGACCTCAGAAGCATTTAATATCTAGTGGGAGGTGATTTTTCTTGCAATCAACCAGCTGTTTGCAAGATCCACTGCACAGTGTGTGAGAAAGCTGTCTGTCTTCATGTCTCTTCTGGGGTTACAGGGTGTATATGAGGAATAGTTCAGAAAGGAAGGTCTGGTGTTTTGGTGCATGAGCCACTTGGTGTAGTGCAGTGAGCACTCTAACTCCCCCATCACCATTAACATTACAGTGTTTAGCTCTTACCTGTAAAACACCACTGTACTAACAAAGAAAATGAAATTAAACCGTTATATTAAAAGAGGGGAAGGGCAGACTGTATACATTGTGCTAAGCAGATGCTGTATATGTGTTAACCCTTCACATTTGGTTGCTGGCTATGATAATAGAAAGAGGGAACAAAAAGGTAGGATATATGATACTGTTTCTGTATATTTAGCTGGTAATATTAATTTGTGTTTCCTTTTACCTGTAGGAAATGAAGATTTGTTCAGCAATTATAAACTTATTCCATCTGATCCCAGCTGCCCCTCAAACCTTGGTTAAACCTCTTCTGGAAGTTGTTATGAAAACAGAACGAGCAATGTTAATTGAGGTAAAAGTGGAAGTTAACGTTGCTGATATTTTTGCTTCATAGTGTTTTTAAACATTAATTTATAATATTTTAAACATAGTATGGAAACATTTGTTGTAATAAATAAATATACTATTCAAGCCTTTCAGGAGGTGTTAACATTTGCTTTAGACTCTAAAAAGCGAAGTTTTGAAATTGTCAATAAATTCTCTTCATAGAAGGTCTGAACATTTTGTATCTGCATAAATGCCAAGTCAAATGTATTTTTCTGAGTGGTAGTAAATTAGTAGCAAATAGTTTGTGCTCTGCGACTTTAATTTAAGCTTTATAAATCTTTCAGGCTGGCAGTCCATTCAGGGAACCACTGATAAAATTTTTGACACGCCATCCATCCCAGACTGTGGAGCTTTTCATGATGGAAGCCACTTTAAATGATCCACAGTGGAGCAGAATGTTTATGGTAAGCTGTGTGGGGAGGTGAGCAGGAAAAAGCCCTTATCTTCACAAATCTGATGAACATCTTTTCTATCTTTTTTCCCTGTATGACCTTGTGGTCCTTACTCATGGACTGATTCAGAATGTAGGTTGCCTATTCCCCATTCTGTATTTGTCCCGAGATGTTGATTTTTTACTTTTATATATGTGAAATATAACCTCAGCAACTTCAGTGATGAAAATAAAAGCTCCAGGATGATATAACCTGTTGGTATTTTTGCTTTTAAAGGTGGTTATTAAAATTATTTCTTCCCCTTCTTCAGAGTTTCTTAAAACATAAAGATGCCAAACCCCTGAGAGATGTACTGGCAGCTAATCCCAACCGATTCATCACTCTGCTGCTGCCTGTTGGTACCCAAGCAGCTGTCAGACCTGGTTCTCCAAGCACCACCACAATGCGCCTCGATCTACAGTTTCAGGCTATCAAGGTATTCATTTCTTCTTGCTAGTCTCTGCACTAGATAGTTAAAACCTCTTGAGCTCCAGATCTGTTGTGCGTATATATTACAGTTTGTAGAAAACCACCTGTAAAAATGTGAAGTGTTTTTGGTTAGAGTCACTCAAGGAAGTGAAAAGAAACTTGGGCTGTTCTCTTCTAATCAAGCTACAAGAGGAAAACATGGCCACAGAAACTAAAAAAAAAAAAAAAAAATCCTTTAAAATTTAGAAATTTAGAAAAATAAGAAAATTTAAAAATTGATCTAAATTTGGTTTTATTTTACTTTTTTTTTTTTGAATGCTTTAGAATTCTTTAATTGGCCTTAAAGAAGTGCTTCTGTATCACTTTCTCTACTGACAGATCTGTTGCATGTTGACTGTGCATTTGTCTTGTTTTGACTTTGACAGATCATAAGTATTATTGTTAAGAATGATGAATGCTGGTTAGCAAATCAGCATTCCTTGGTGAATCAGCTGAAGCGTGTATGGGTGAGTGAAGCTTTTCAGGAGAGACATCGTAAGGAGAATATGGCTGCAACAAATTGGAAAGAACCAAAGCTGTTAGCATATTGCTTACTGAATTACTGCAAGTACGTAAAAACATTTATTTTCTATAGCTTGCCTAAGTTATTTGTTTTATTTTTTTAAGTTTTGAAAATACTGTAAAGGTATACAGGGTGCTAAAAATGATTTGCAGTTACTGAAGAGAAAGTTTAATATATCTCATAATACTGTCATTAGCTCTAAAACCATGCCTCTAGTACTGTCTGCTCTTGCCTCTCTGCTGATGTAAAACTAAAATTAGTTTATTCATTGAGCATTAGCATAGTAGTTTGGCTGGGTATTTTTTCACAGAAACTTTTTGGTTTATGTTTTTACAGAAGAAATTATGGTGACATAGAGTTGCTTTTCCAGTTGCTTCGAGCTTTTACGGGTCGATTTCTTTGCAATATGACTTTCTTAAAGGAATACATGGAAGAAGAGATCCCCAAAAACTACAGTATTCCCCAAAAACGGGCTTTGTTCTTCCGGTTTGTAGACTTCAATGACCCAAACTTTGGAGATGAGCTCAAAGCCAAGGTAACTAAAGCAATTAAATCAAAGAAGCCTGGTATTTAGGTTTAATTTTCTTCTTGGGAACTAGGGCAACAAAACCCACTTACTTAAATGTCAACGAGTTTGATAATTGGCAGAGCCATTTGGGTGAAAATATCATACCTGAGGAAAAGCGATAATAAACAGAGACAGCAATTCATCTTGCTTTCAGTGCTGACTACTTTAGCTTACACTTTCTAAGAATCTTTGCCCTTGGAAGGAGGAAAGGGGGAAGAAAAATCTGTGTGTATCTGTTTCTTAAAGTTTTATTTATAGCTTCCCTTTGTAACACACTGTAACAGTGTCTAATGTGCAGGTTTGTATATGAAATTTCATGAATGTTGATTGCTGTTAGAAGAATCCTGTAGCTGAGCTTAACTGCTTTTTTGTTTGTTCTGTAGGTGCTGCAACATATCCTGAATCCTGCCTTCTTGTACAGTTTTGAAAAGGGAGAAGGTGAACAGCTGTTGGGACCCCCAAATCCAGAAGGAGATAATCCAGAAAGCATTACTAGTGTTTTTATAACAAAGGTAAGATCCTTGTTTGCTTTAAAGTGTTTGAAAATTCAAACAAAGTAGTTCCTCTCATTTGGCTTTTCAGTCTTGATTTGAGTTAGTTGTACGGTTTCTAAATGCTGCGGTCAGTTATAACAGATCACATCAGAACTTTGAACTGTTGTGAGATCCATCAGTCATCAGTAGGATTGGACTACAATTTTCAGTTTATGGTTTCTTTAGGACTTCAATGTCTGTTTTCAGAAATGGTCATTATATAGCTGTAGTCCTAGTCTTTTTCATAAGCAGAGCCTTCCATGACTAAACATCGGTACCTTTTGTAATTCACTTTGATTTCATTGAACCAGTTAGCAATTATAAAATAGATGTTATTGAAGACAAGGGGTGATTTTGATGGTATTTTATGGTGGTTTTTTTGGGGTGTGGGGTGGGTTTTTTTGGTTTTTTTTTTTGGTTTTTTCCTTCTTAATAGGTTAGCACTTCAGAAGTTCCTAGATGTGCTCAGTATTAAAAGTTCTCACCTCAGGAGGCTGGTCTCCTTAAAAACTGCAAAAAATAAAATAAAGCAAAAAATAAACATAACAAAAGGCTAGGACTTTGTTTCTGAAGAGAATAACATTGGGTTTGTTTTTTTTTTTTCCCCCCCTCGCCTTCTTTGACCATCCCTGGGACTAGGTACTTGATCCGGAAAAGCAGGCTGATATGCTGGATTCCCTCAGGATCTATCTCTTGCAGTTTGCTACCCTTCTGGTTGAGCATGCTCCACATCACATTCATGACAATAACAAGAACCGGAACAGCAAACTCCGGCGCTTGATGACCTTTGCTTGGCCCTGCCTCCTCTCCAAGGCGTGTGTGGACCCAGCCTGCAAATACAGTGGACACTTGCTTTTGGCACACATCATAGCGAAATTTGCCATACATAAGAAGATAGTTCTGCAGGTATTGACTGTGGGCTTGTGTTCATGCATTTAAGGGAGGTTGCTAAGTTCTGGAGTGTGCTTTCTTTTAGAAGGAGTAGATGGTGCACATTATTTTTGTGTACAAGCAACATATAAATTTATATGCAACAAATACAGGAGCAGCAGACCAGATATTAAAAATCTGAGGATAGGAGAGTACAGAAAGAAGTTGGAAGATAAGTGAAAACAGAGGGGGTGAATGGGACAATGAAAAGTCCTTTTGTTTAAATGAACAAAATTGGTTATGTTTTCTCTTCTAAAAGAGACAGCCATTTCAATTGAAATAAAATGTGGGGACCAAAGGAAAACTTCAAATTTGGGCAGTGGAGAGGGAGGAAGAAAGAGAGCAAATGTAAGGGAGACAGAAGTATATACTTTGTCCTTTTGATTATGAAATATCATCACATAGTTATCAAATTGTGGGCCTTTAGGAAAAAATCCTGTTGTTTAGAAACCATATGTTGTAGTTTCTCTTTCTTTATGAATGGTTAATTTTTGTAATACGTGTAATGTTAATGTTGATCAGAAACTTTGCTGTTCAGGTTTTTCACAGTCTTCTAAAAGCTCATGCCATGGAGGCCCGAGCTATTGTCAGGCAAGCAATGGCAATTCTGACTCCAGCTGTGCCTGCTCGGATGGAGGATGGACATCAGATGCTGACTCACTGGACACGAAAAATCATTGTGGAAGAGGGTCATACAGTTCCCCAACTTGTACATATTTTGCACTTAATAGTACAACATTTCAAGGTACTTGTACTCCTTATTCTGGTAGTTGCTATATCTCAGATATCAAGGAGGTAAACTGCGGTTTGAAGTGAAAATAACGTAGTCTGCTTTATATAATTTAGCTACAAAAGGCCTTAGCTCTCTGCAAAGATATTTATTTAAAATTGAAAACTACTATTAAATAGCAAGCCATTTGTTAAGCTTTATCATGATTAAAGTTAGAATTCAAAATGTGAAGTCAGTCTTCAAGATTAATTAATTGCACCTGCCTTAGCAATGATTTTTAACAGAACAGTGAAGATTCTTTAAGAGATGTTAAAAGAAAGTGCAGAACCATATTCCTTTCTATCCTCATCCTCCAGTAATCTTTGTTCGTTCAACTTCATATATTCTGTAGGGTTAACTAGGTAACTTTTATCTCCAGCTACTGGATGTTGGGAAACAGTAAATAAATGGAGGAATGCTTCAGAATGTCAATGTAGGAGTGTTAATGAAAATGTATATTAAATATAATCCAAAACAACAGCTAGATAATGCATTTAAGTCCCTTTTCGGGAATCAATGCCTCAGTGCTTTTTGAAAAAATGTCCCAGTGTGTTCAAATGTGACTTGTAGCTCTCCAGAAGGATTGGCAAAAAATCAGAATGATTGATCCTTGGGAAAAATCATGTGTCTTCAAAAGAACATCTTAGTTTGGTACGTGAAGTCAGTAGTTGCTACTGAAAATTGTAGCCAAAATTTTATTTTCAAAGTATCAGTTACTTTTTCTGGATTGAAAAATTTGAACATGGTACAGATTTAGCAAACTCAGGGGTTAAGGACTATTTTACCATTTTGCTTTATTTTGATTCTTTAGGTTTTGTGTTTGAATTTTATTGGTTAATAGCTAACATAACTGTGCAACTCTTTTCAGGTTTATTATCCAGTCAGACATCATTTGGTTCAGCATATGGTTAGTGCCATGCAGAGACTAGGCTTCACTCCCAGTGTTACAATAGAGCAAAGAAAATTAGCAGTGGATCTTGCTGAAGTAGTTATTAAATGGGAATTGCAAAGAATTAAAGACCAGCAGGTAGGAAGTCTAAATAAACTGGTAAAGATTGAATTGTTACACAGTTAAATGCTTTTTTAACGTGCACATTGCTGCTATTTCAGCCAGATTCAGATATGGATTCAAGTGCAAGTGGAGAAGGAGCAAGTTCTGCCTCATCTGCTGTCAAAAGAGGACTGTCTGTGGATTCTGGCCAAGAAGTAAAACGATTCAGGACAGCGACAGGAGCAATAAGTGCTGTAAGAAAAGATCAGGCTTTGTTCAGAGACTCTGAAATTATTACTTGCAGTGACTAAGCAATTTAGTGTAATTGTTTTTTCCACATAACTTGGAACCCCCTCAGTTGAAGCGTATGGTTTAGGAAATGTTTTAATTCTGTGCTGCTTGCTGTTGTGCCTCTCCAGCACTGCTTACGGTTGTGTTCTGTACCCTGCAGGTGTTCGGACGCAGCCAGTCCCTGCCCGGAGCTGATGCGCTGCTTTCCAAGCCCATCGACAAGCAGCACACAGATACAGTCGTGAATTTCTTGATTAGAATTGCTTGCCAGGTAGAGTGTTTATTCAAGGTAGCACTAGTAGCTGAAACCCTAAACCCTCTTGTCATAACAGTCCTTTTATGCTTGGATTACTGTAGTATGTGTACATATTCTTTCACTGAAAGATTAGAAACTTTAGTGTGAAATTATACAAGAAGTAAAATATTTTCATTTTAAGGAAGAAAGATGTTGAATTTGATGACCAGCTTCTGCACATTTTTCATTTCACAAATGATGAGTATTGTTGATGAGAGGTGTGCTTTAGTACCTTCTTGTTGGCATTGTATATCTATAGCTTGATGCAGGCAGCGTGCACCTTAAAATTAAAAGTTTAAATGTGGGCAGTTGCAATCCAGACTTTGAAATTGAAAGAGTCTCCATTTTACTGGGATGTTGATCACTTCTAGCATTTTGTTTGTTCTTTACTTTATATTTTCAAGGAAGTAATATATCAGGAGTGACATGCTTGAAATAAATGTGACTAGTAGAATTTGGCTGGAGCCAGGCAAAGACTTCAAAAAGTTCCCACAAGCATTTTTTTCTTAATTCGTTTATACATTTGCCTAGATTTAATGGCAAGAATATTTTACCCCAAAACTGAAGAATATGGAGTTTAATAGGGAAAGACTATGTCAATGACATAACTAAGGGTAATGTTTTTAATGGTATATTCAAGGCCAAATACATGGAATTAGTTATTTGTGTGCAGCATGTAGGACTAAAGCTATGTATGTTTATGGATACCTTACAAACAGGAAAGATTAACCATCTTGAGCATATTCAGAGTTGTAGTATTAAAGTAAAAAACTTAAAAAAAAAAAAAAAAATACCTTTGATGGGTGCTAAGGTAGCAGTTTAGACACCAGTTCTGATATTAACCATTAGTTGTCAGCTTTTATTGTATTTAAATACTCTGACTATACTGATAAGACTACTTAAGTTCATCCATTTCAGAAGTAAGAAATTATATGCTTGCTTGGGATGCATAAACAAATTAATGAGTTGGTTCCAAAAGGGTGTCATTTTGTTAACTGATTAATTGCTAGGTAAATGACAACTCAAACACTGCTGGATCTCCTGGGGAATTGCTGTCACGCCGCTGTGTCAACCTCCTGAAAACAGCTTTACGACCAGACATGTGGCCCAAATCAGAACTGAAGTTGCAGTGGTTTGATAAGCTGCTAATGACTGTGGTAGGTAGCATTCTAGTCCTGTGGGTCTTTAGGCTTCACTAGCACATACATTGGATGGAGTACTAGTGATATCTGGATACTGATTTTCTTCAGTCTTCATCTTTTCTTTGAAGGGAAACACATAAATTGTTAGTATGTGAATTGCATCAGTGGTTATAATTTGTACAGCTGCAGTACTTAAAAATATGAAAACAGGCTTAGAAGCAAGTGAAATAACTTCCTGTATTAGTTAATTTTTAAAGAGACTGTAGTTTGTTTGTATGGCCTGCAGGTTGGTGGGGTTTTGGGTTTGACTTTTTTTTTGTTTCTTTGATTTTTTTTTTTTTGTTGTTAGTAAGAAGTTTTATAAATTGAGATTGACTTTATTGGTTCCTAGCTCTCTGACTGCATTATGGTAATGTGAAGTTCACTGAAAGGCGAGCTTCCTGTGCTTGATGATACAGCAGATTTTATTATCCGTATGCTATTTGTGTGCTTTTTGCCATAAAATAACTTTTTCTATGCCTATTATATTTGTATCATAATATTTAAGCCAATCGTACTGTGATAAATTTTTACAAGCTCTCTTGATATCACTTTTTTGTTTCTTTGAAAAAAGGAGTAATAAATCCTACTTTTGGAAACTCTAAAACGCCTAAGATTACCTGAAAATTCACTGTGGCCCATTTTTTACAAATGCTGAACTACACGTGCCATACTCTCATAATCTTCTTGTCTCTGTAGAGAGAGCCCTTGAAAGGGCAAGTATCTACTTTCATCCTTTTCTCCTGCAGGGAGAGTTTTTGGTGTGGCTCCATTTGTTTTGGGTTTACAAGCATTGATGGCACTGCAGGGAGCTCATATTTGTTGCTTTACTTATCTTTTCTCAAGTAGTGTGCAATCTGAGTGAAAACTGCCAGAAGGAACATACCTGTAAATGTTCAAGTAACATTTTTATGGTTAAAAGATCTTGTAGTGTCTTGTGTTTTAAAGTTTTATATCCAGACTTATGCAGAAGATTGATATGAAACATGGCTAGTGTAAAAGCTTCAATGTTATTACAGATTTTGAACAGATTTGATCTGGAGTTACTAACAGTGTAGTACTTGTGAATTCCCTCACTCACTGCCCTTTTTTATATGTGTTCTCTGTAGGAACAACCCAATCAGGCCAACTTTGCAAACATTTGCACGGGCTTAGAGGTCTTAAGTTTCCTGTTGACTGTGCTGCAGCCTCCTGCTGTCCTTAGCAGCTTCAAACCCCTGCAACGAGGCGTCGCCGCTTGTATGACCTGTGGCAACACCAAGGTTTTGAGAGCAGTGCACAGTTTGCTTTCTCGCTTGATGGGCATTTTCCCTACAGAACCAAGTATGTGGTATTTTCTTCCTCCTTTTATCCTTTATTACTGCATAAATTAAATGATTTAGGGTGGCATGAAGCCACTATTTGGAATGTGCAAATATTCAGTTTTATGATTGCTGCATTTAATGGTCCATTTTAGCCTGCACTTTCAACCTCTGCTTAAAAAAGAAAGGCTGAAATAAGTAATTATGTGGAATACATCATTATTCATTGACATAAAAACTTAATAATCTGTGGTTGTCATAACTTTGGTTCAAGACATGCAAACTATGAATTTAGTGTATTTTTGCAGTTACAGTTTTTCAGCTTTGGAAGTGCAATTTTGTAGTTGCTAAGCTTTGCTGTTTTGCTGAAACAAGGAAGGAAGATAGGGTGTGAAACCAAAGACAATAAGTAACAGGTTGTATCTTAATATAAACTAATTGAAATAATATTATCTTAAAAAAATTGGTAATCTAAGACTTCTCAACAAAAGGAGTTATTTGGAAGTATTAGTATACTGTTTCAGAAGTGTTTATTGTATAATAAAGAGGCCTATATAAATGAGGGATTTGCTTGTGTTACCTTGGTTTATTAGCAAGGCAAGAAAAGCTCCTGGTGATGATATGGATAACTCTTGTATTCACCATATGAATGTGAACTTGCCTATACATTCCTTGCCTGTTCGGTGGCTACTGCTACCAAAAGTAAACACAACTCTAAACTCTGCAGGTACCTCAAGTGTTGCTTCAAAGTATGAAGAGCTGGAATGCCTTTATGCTGCAGTTGGAAAGGTTATTTATGAAGGACTTACTAACTATGAAAAAGCCACTAATGCCAACCCTTCTCAGCTCTTTGGTAAGTTTCCCACGTTTCTAGTAGACATACTTAGAGTGCCTCTTTAATGAGTATGATCTTTGTCATGAGCTTTTATTTTCCATAAGGGAATTGATATTGGGCAGAGGAAGCTGTTGGAAGCATTTTGAGCTAACTGGAGAGACAAGCTTGAGGTGTCTGGCATCTGTGAAGAAAGGGACTGGGGTGTTCGTGGTATTCTGTGTTCTCCCAGTAACTGACTTGGAAGCAGTCATTGTAAGTGGGGAGCTGCAGCTGTGCTAGATGGAAGCCTTCTGTGTTCATAGTGCATAGGACAAAGATGCAGCATTCAGATTATCAAAATATAAAGCAAGAGTTACTGGAAACTTGCTACACAGAATAACCCAAAATCCTGGGAGTAGTACTCTGAGATACAATTGAGTATTTCAAGGAATCTCTGTAAATATTCCTACATGTTACTGCTTTATAATTTCTTTTTGAATTGTTTTTAAAGCATTATTTATCAACTTATTTAAATAGTGTAGGAAGATTTAGGTAGCTATAGATCTTGAATTCTCAGTAAGAAATTACAAAAACACTTTTTCTTAAGAACGCAAACCCCCATTTTTAGCATATACTACTCTGGAGAGCTGAAATGTTCTTATTTTCTTGTTCTTTGTACATATTTAACTGATAGAGAACTCAGCTACCCAATACAATGACTAAGATATATTGGAATAATACATTTCAGCCCAGAACTGGTTGTGTTGGTAATACAGACCTGGAATTGCACAATTTTGGGAAGCTTGTTGATTTAAATGGTCAATGTCCTTCACTATTCTACTCTGTGATCTGTGTAGGGAGTTGTAATTTTGCTTGGGGAATTGCCTATTTGTCAGATGTCAGGATGTGCTTTACAACAAACTAACCAAGAAAGATGTTTCTTACACTTCATTCAGAGCTGACTTAAAAGCATTACTACAATCTAATGGTCAGGAGGTTCATTTCTTATCCATTCTGTGTTTCAGAGGCTGAACTTTGTGTGTCAGATTTTGTACACATCTGAGCACAAAAAGAAATCAAAACTTTGGAAAGCAGCCATTCAATGAACAAAGTTCTACAAATGTTGCAGGCTCTTGTTGAATTATGAAGTTGCAGTAAGGAAAGAGATAGCTGTAGGTTTTTTTAGAGGGTATAGTTTGATAGCATGTGGGTACTTTTTTTTAAAAAAAAAGTATTTTAAAGGATAGATGTAGCTAAAACTGATTGGGTTGCATGTATATAGATAAGTTTTTATTAGGATAGGCATTGTTAACAACTGTGTGTAATTTGAAGTGACTATGATACTGTGGGCATAATGCATTTAAAACTGCCAAAATCAGTGGTTTCAATAGTTAACTTTCAATCTGCAGTAACTGATAATGAAACCTTTTAAAATTTTTAGTTTAGGAAAACAAGATTTAAGAGTTTAAAAAAAGAAGTAGACAAATTTATTTTTATTTTTAATTACTAATTCCAGGCCTATTAATGTAAAAATTTTGTAACTTTTTGTTGCTAAAATCAACATGCAATGTTAGGAGTAGTTTAATTTTGCATGACTAATTTATTTTTTAAAATTATTATTATATTTTTAAGGTCTTGGGGAAGTATCTGCTCTCAGTTTTTCCTTTGCTCCCCTTTGCCTTCCCTCACACACTTGTATGCAGAATTTTCGAGTATTCTGATTAATGCAAAAACAAGTTTTTAGTCTTAGACTAAGAACTGAAGTTGAGATTGAAATTTTTCTTCAAATCTATCCAGATTTCTAATGTTTGTAACTTGTGTAGTTACAAAATACAGAACAAAATATAGCTAGAACATTTTCCTGTGTTCTTTCACGGAACAGGAAAGTTCACATTGAAAACCTGTATCTTACTCAGGTCATGCTCATAGAAGCTTTCCTTCCTAAAGTGCTGTCTTTATTTGTAGGTACTTTAATGATTCTGAAGTCTGCGTGCAGTAACAACCCCAGCTATATTGACAGGCTGATTTCAGTCTTTATGCGATCTCTGCAGAAGATGGTCAGGGAACACTTGAACCCACAGGCTACAGCAGGAACAGCAGAAGCAAATACAGGTATTATATTAAAGAATCTCAAGGATGTTTAATGATTAGAAGTGTTGTAAAGTATTAACATCTCTTCATCCTAAAAGGGATTCAGATACTTTTGTGGAGTTTTGTGTGTATTGATACGTATTGAAAAATACTTCAGCATTAGTGAGAACTATTACTGAAGCACTGAAGGCTAAAAATGCACTTTGAGTTCCTGTTACCTGCTAAATGGATGAATTCCAGCATTAACCCAAACATCTCGGTGAATTGTTAGTGAAAATTGTTGAGCTGCAGCATATATAGAAAAAGGGAAATTCTTCAGAGTTGATAAGTGTTGGGGGAAAGGGGCTGAATTATTTTGATTATTCTGTTCTCTCACTATTTTTACTCCTTCCTATTTGATAATATTGGAACAACTATTTGTGAAATTAATTTGTTGAAAACGATGCTTCTGTTTTTATCTTAAAAGGCATCTTTTTCAGTATGTACACTTCTGTCATCAAATGAATTATTAGGTCATGAGTCATTAAAAAAAAAAGATGTTTTTGTAAAAAAAAAATTCAGTGCTAGTAAAGAGCACTGTAATTTATTAATGAATAAGCTACTGAAGAAAATACTTTGAAAAGATTGCTGGTCTTAGATCTCCAGCCCATATTTTAATTAGGTAAATGAGAACCTTGCAAATTTTATTAAAGCTGAGAAACAACTGGAAAATTACTTAACTTGACAGATAAGCAAGCCAGGAAATTAACAGAACAGAATGGGCATGCTGCATCATATGGTATTTCTTTCACAAGCTTAATTGCAGTTTTTCAGTGCTGGGCTTCTGTAATACCTTCTACCAAAGATTTACTGAAATGAAATCACACAGACATGCCTTCAGGATTTTGAAAGGATTTTCTTGGAAGGAGGCTGTCTCAGTTGTTTAGGAATGGAAAGTAGTAATTCTGAAAACATTGATCTAGGGATATATTTCCAGGTAATAGATATTAAAGTTACAGTAGCTTATCTTGAATTTTTTTTTTTTTTTAGTAAGCTTTCTACAAGTGTGTACACAATTCTAATCCTTTTTTTTGGCATCCATAGCAGGGACAAGTGAACTGGTAATGCTAAGCCTAGATCTTGTGAAAACTCGCCTGGCTGTGATGAGTATGGAAATGAGGAAGAATTTTATACAAGCTATTCTAACATCTCTCATTGAAAAATCTACTGATGCCAAAATTCTTCGTGCAGTGGTAAAAATAGTGGAAGAGTGGGTGAAAAACAATTCCCCGATGGCAGCTAACCAGGTAGATTGAGAAGATACATTTATTTAGTATTTGAGAGCAGTAATAATTTTAAGTCACTGTTAGAATTTATCATTTTTTGACAGTGAGGTTTGTAGGGTCTGGTATATATATTTAGATGCCCTTGGTGAGGTTTGGAATGTTTTGTATCTGCTGTCAAAGTAACGAGTTAAAGATGCTTAGCATTTTATAGGCTTATATTGGGTATTGGATCTCGAATGCTCTTTTGCTGAGAACTTTTTTTACAGTGGAAGTTAGAATATGCTTCACATAAACTTGGATGGAGAGATTCTTCTGGAGGAGGATGACTAATGCTGGTTTAAATCATGTCATTCCTGTAACATCATGTGGACTCCTCAATTTGCTATATTTTCTGTTAGTTGAGTATTTGACAATCTATTGTATAAAAGGACCTACACTTTTAAAAATACATGTTAGATTTTTTTAGTTGCTGAAAAACTTAAACCAGTTGTAAGTCGTGATTTTAAAATTCTCTAGCATATATTAGAAGGATAAATGCTTGAGTTTTTTTTTTTTTTTTTTTTTTTAACAACTATGACTTTCTACCAAGCTATTTTTCCATACTTCAGAGGTGGAAGAGTGATATAAAGGATGGCTGAGCTCTACTTAGAATATGCCAGTTCTCTGCACGTTTTAAGATGAATTGACAAAATTAATCATGTCTTCTTTTAACACAGACACCTACTCTCCGGGAGAAGTCCATTTTACTAGTGAAAATGATGACTTACATTGAAAAGCGTTTTCCAGAAGACCTTGAATTAAATGCTCAGTTCTTAGACCTTGTTAACTACGTCTATAGGTAATTACAGCAATTAATCGTTTATTACAGCTTATTGATTCATAATTTGTACCATATATGACCTTTATAACATGGCATCAATCTCTTTAGGTCTGAATTAAGTGTTTTTTTCTAAAAAAAATTATTTCCTAAAATACAAAATCAGTTCGTTTCGCTGGAATCACAATACATATTTGCAGAAGACAATTTGAAAATAGATGTTCTTTAGAAAGGGTCTCCCTTTTGGTCCCACTGAAATATCTCCACCACTCCAAATTCTTTCTTTCCTGAGATACCAGCGCATCCTCATAGCTGATTGTATTGCAAACACTGTGGTGACAGCTGAAATCTGACTGTCTTTGCACATCTGTAGGTTATAAAGGTGGGTTTTTTTTTTTTGTTTTTTTTTTTTAAATTATTATGAATTATACTTTCAGAAGACTTACTTTGCTAGCTAAACTGGCAGGTTTTGCAACATGGTGAGATAATTAAAATAGTTACCTTATCAACAAATCCCAGGTATTTCATGGTGTGCTGCTGATTCACATTATTTTGACTTAGTGCTTGCTGCTGTTCTGTTTGCTGGTTAATTGTGCAAAGCCCTGGTGCGGGCAGAAGTTAATATCAATTAATATAATTTGGCATTTCAGATGGAGTACAGATGTGGCTGAAATTGTTTTACAATTGCAATAAAACTTTATCCTGAGGGAGTTCTTACGGGAATTCTGGGGCAGCTTTCTAACAAGCAGGAGTTTTGTTTGTTTTTTTTTTTTCCTGCTTCTTGCAAAACGCCACGTCTGGGTGCAGCCCACACCATGGAATATCACCTCCTGTTTTTTGTGTATTTTATATACAAAACTTGGGAGGCTTCTCTTTCTAATGTCTGATATTTCATCTTCATTTTAGGGATGAGAACCTTTCTGGTAGTGAACTTACTGCAAAGCTAGAGCCAGCATTTCTTTCGGGTTTGCGTTGTGCCCAGCCACTCATACGAGCCAAATTTTTTGAGGTCTTTGACAATTCCATGAAACGTCGTGTTTATGAGCGCCTGCTTTATGTGACCTGTTCCCAAAACTGGGAAGCAATGGGAAATCACTTTTGGATAAAACAGTGCATCGAGGTAGGGAAAATTTTCATATCAGAAATACAGCTATACTTCAAGAAATAGATTTTATTCCATTTTTCGTGGCTGTGTGTAGAAGCATTATGCAATGTGTGTCTTGTAGTATGTATTGTCTGTATCAAAGCTAAAAATACTAAGTCTGCAGCCCCAGATACTTCCTGTGGTGCTTATAAATAAATACAGTGTCTAAACTATGAAATGCTGATGCTTGGGAAGTGGCCTTAATTACCAGCCTTTACAGTCTGTTTTCTCTATGAAAGCTTAATGACCAGCTTAATACTTCTTAAGAACACCCATCTCTTACAAATGATGGTGATTATAATAAATATAAGAATTGTTATAGTAGATGATTTAAACAAAACTGTTAAGGTTAGAGTGTCTGCTCTGATGGTGTGATGATATAAGTACTGTTAGGTGGGATTGCATTGAAATTAAATTGCATTTTTGATTGACTTATTTAAAACAAGATGGGACCAAACCTTTTTCTTGTTTTGTTTTGGTTTTTTTTTTTTCCCCTTAACAATTTGCATATTAGACCATGAGTTTAAAGAGACTGTGAGGATAATTTTATACTCTTAAAAGTATCAGAACTCCTTCCAGAGAGAGGAAAAAATTGCACTGGGGTTTTGTTGTGTGGTGTGTTGTTGTGTTTTTTTTTTGTTGTTTTTTTTTTTTTAACCACATCCTTTCTGGGATGACTTTAATTGTAATGGTGAGAGTCTGTATACATTAGCTGATTGAAGGCACTAAATACATGTTAGAATATAGAATTTAGGCATAGGAGATTCTTATTTCCTACCTTCATCATTTTCAGGAGAGGCTTGACAAATCTTGAAAGTATAGTTGTGAACATCAAAATGGTGACAAAGTGTGATCAGCTAAATGTATTAGTGTATTTATTGAATAAAGGTGATAAACAGGGCTTAAATCTATTACTGCAACTTTCATCTTGTTGACAAATATCAAACCATTGTAGTATTTTTTCTTTGAAATATTACGGCAATATATGTATTTAAAAACTCCCCTTGCTTTTGGCTTAGCTCCTGTTGGCAGTGTGTGAGAGAAACACTACAATTGGGACAAGCTGCCAGGGTGCCATGCTGCCCTCTATCACCAATGTTATCAACCTTGCTGACAGTCATGATAGAGCAGCATTTGCTATGGTCACCCACGTCAAGCAAGAGCCTCGTGAAAGGGAAAACAGTGAATCCAAAGAAGAGGTAATTTACAGAAAATACTTTAGAAAAAGCAATCTTTTTGATGGAATATAGATCTTCCTAGTTTCTCACCAAATGGGTTTGGAGAATGTGTCTTGAAGACGCTGTGCACAGATTGTTCAGTGTATCTTGTGTTTAACACATTGTATTTTAGCCGTGCATGGGTTTCTCAGAACTTGCATTGTTTCATTATTTTTCTTTATTATAGCACTCTAGAAATTATATATCTGAACATGAAGAACTAGCAGAAATAGTGAGGCCTGAAATAAGTTGATCGGAAGGGTATTTTGTATTTGTATGGGGAAAAAAAAGCAAAAGTACTTAGAAAATATCTGCATGCTTTGAGTTGTTTACTTCTGTATAGGATGTTGAAATAGATATTGAATTGGCTCCGGGAGATCAGACCAGTACACCTAAAACTAAGGAGCTCTCTGAGAAGGACATTGGCAATCAGCTGCACATGTTGACCAACCGGCATGACAAGTTTCTTGACTCTCTTCGAGAAGTGAAGGTTGGTACAGGTCATTGCTTTCCTGACAAATCACTTTAATACTCAAATCTTCAAACTGACCTGGAACACTTCCCTTTTTTTTTTTTTTTAAACTCGCACATCTGATTTTTTTTTTTTATGTAAATGTGCTTCATAACATGATGTAATTTTGTATTTGCATAGGGTAAAAAATTCTTAAGCCTTCACTTAATTACTAGTTGTTACTGTATCCCTTTCCTAGGAAGTTAAATTTCATCCTCCTTCACCCATAAGTATGTTTTAACTGCTCAGTTTAGAAAATAGTAGTGGTAAAGACAGGGCATAGGATCAAAAACTTATCCTTTCAGCATCTTATATTTAAATAATTTTTAAGAAAATAATTTTAAGTGGAAGCTATGTTGAAAAAATTTTCACAGTAGTAACAGCTCTATCCAATTAACTTGATCATGCCTATTACCAAAGTCACCAACTTCTTTCCATTTTCTTTTTTTTTTTTTTTTTAAAATGGTAACAGAAATGAATTCAAAGTCTTGACCAAGTAGGATTAATTTCTTGTTACAGTAGTCTGTATTGCTAAAGGAAAAATTCTTGGTATGTTGGTTGAAAAAAGCGTTTGCATTACTGTTAAAGCAACTGTATGACTGCACTGTTTTTGCATAGTGTTAACTGTATTTTTCCCATTTGTGTACATCTCCTTGTTTCTAGACTGGAGCATTGCTGAGTGCCTTTGTTCAGTTATGTCATATTTCGACACCGTTAGCAGAGAAGACTTGGATACAGCTTTTTTCAAGACTTTGGAAAATCTTGTCTGACAGGCAACAACATGTGAGAATCTTTCTCTCTTCACTTACAAATTCCTCTTTGGAAATAACTAGTGTTTCAGGAGAATGTATTCGTGTGATAAAGTCACCTGCTTTGAGAAGTTTGCCATTCTTTCTGACCAGTGACTGCTGTATAACTGTCAATACATCTTTTGAAAAAAATAGGGCCCTTCAGTTTACGAAGAGAAATACATTTACCAAATGGCTGTTCCCTGTAATAACAAGATTTTAGATCTATGTTCTGTAATTGAAAAATCTGAACGAACAGATAATTATTCTTGCTTTTTTCCTCTAGGCTCTGGCAGGTGAAATAAGCCCTTTCTTGTGCAGTGGTAGCCATCAAGTACAGCGAGATTGCCAGCCGAGTGCACTGAATTGCTTTGTGGAAGCAATGTCACAGTGTGTTCCTCCCATTCCCATCAGACCTTGTGTCCTGAAATACCTGGGTAAAACTCACAATCTCTGGTTTCGTTCTACACTGATGCTGGAACATCAAGCCTTTGAAAAAGGACTGAGTCTACAAATTAAGCCTAAACAGACAACAGAATTTTATGAGCAGGAAAGCATAACTCCTCCTCAACAGGTAGATTTATATTAATTTAAATACCTTAATGAAATGTGAAGAGAAAAACACAGTGAGAGTGTAGTACAATAGTATCATAGAATCATTTAGGTTAGAAA